TCCTCATCAGGCTTTTGGGAATCTGCTGCTCCTGGCCCTGCCTCACCTCCAATTTCACACTTCTTGCCCCTCTGCCCCACTCCTCCCTTCTCCGATCCCCTCTCACCAGCTTATATCCCTCGGTCAATAGTCAATGACTGTCAGGGCAAGCAGCTCCAGGGGCGGAGCTTCGACTGAAGTCAGACTCCTAACTCAGCACCTTCTGCACTGGAGGACCAGGAAATTACCCAGTTTCTCTGAGATTGTTTCCTCGGCCATAAGATGGGGTTGACAACTGCCCCTGCCTCTTGGGGCTGCTGTGCGGACTGAGTAAGTTGGTGTCTGTAATGCCCTCAACCTACCACACAGGAGTGTGGATCACATTTATTGCCATTTTTGTGCTCAATTGATCTTTTGGTGGAGCAGTGGGACGAACTTGCTCATGCAGGCCCACGGGGCCACAGTAACAGGAAGAGCTAATCAGGCTGCTGGGAAATGTGGCGGACTGGCCTGGAGAGGTGAGTCTGCCGACTGTGCTGGTGGGCGTGACCCAAGGCCCTCCTGGGAGACTGCACCCGTTCCTCCCTAACCACCGCCAGCCAGAGCCGCTGGAGGGCAATGTGCTCCCTCCAGTGTGGATGCTGGGGGCCGTGAGGGCTGGGACACCACCCGAGGGGCTCTCCTGGGACCCGAGCAGGGAAGAAGGCAGGGGACTGGCCGGTTCCCTGCTGAGCGGGTGGGAGGAATGTCAATAAAGGGGGGTGGGGCGTGCACAGAGTGCAGAGGCCAAATGGCGCAGGTGGGAAGGTGTGGGCTTGACCCGGTGTGGATTCTTTGGGGGGACCTTTTGTTTCAAGGACAGAACCTAAGGCTTGGTGGGGATAAACGCCTGGCCTGACTCCCTACCAGGAGATGGGATTCCTGGGACTGTAGGGAATAGACTCCTCTGCCCAATGAGGAAGTTTGGAGAAGAGGTGCAGGCTGAACCTGAGTGCTGAAGGAATGGGGTTACAGGTTAAAAGAACCCAATATTTCCCTAGGAGGGTGGGGAATCAATGTGGGGCTCAGGGCCATGTATGGCAAGGCCCCAACCTGCTCCCTCAGGGCAGAGCCCAAGGACCGTGGTGCCCTACCCTCATCTCTAAATACATGTTCATTTATTACTCATTATTAATAAAGCAGGAGCTCCGAGGTGCTCCAGGCTTTCTCCTGCCCCAGCCCCAGGTGCTGGGCACTGGTCTCAGGCCCAACTATGCAGAGAAACACCTTGGTGGGGGTGGTGGCCGTGGGTGTAGGAGCTACACAGGGGCAGACACCCAGTGTCCACTCTTAAAAGTGGTCTTGGATCTGGGGGCCTGGGAGGAAGGAAAAGTGATGCATAGGGAAAGGAACTTTCTCCATGTGGGGTTAGGGAAGGGGACAGGGACGCAGGCCAGGGGAGCAGGGAAAGGGCAGAGACCTGCTGGCAGGCGGGAGGTTTAAAAGGCCAAGGATGGGCAGGGTAAGGGTGGGTGAGTGCTGAACCAGGAGTGGTCTCTGTCTCCAGCAACTGCGCTAAGGTGCAGATTGTGTGCCTCTGCTGATGGGTTTTCAGTGTCAAGGCTGAGCTTGCATTGGTGTTATTCCTCCAGAATTGGATCTGTGTCACCTCTGTCTTGAACACCCAGAGCTGCGGGTTGTGCGTGTTTGTGTGTGTGTGTGTGTGTGTGTGTGTGTGTGTGGAACACCACGGGATTGAATTACCTTTCAAATCTAAAGCTTGGATTCCTCCAGGCCTGGCGGGTGGGCGTGTGCACACATTCCCCCAGAGCATTGTGGGATGTTGGTTGTCACTAGGAAGCCACGGGGCTTGCCTTCAGTTCCATTTTCCTTTCCACAAGCAAGGAAAAAAGAGGATCCTGTGCCCGTGAAGACAAGGATGACAAGAGAAGGAATATCTGACCAGGTTCAGCCTGAAGCCCCAGGCAAGACTGGGGAGGCCTGGGTTAGAATCCTGCTGCTGCTGCTGCTGCTGCTGCATTCTAGCCATATGTGACTTTGGCACATGGATTAACTTCCTGGTTTCCTATCTGAAAAGGGGATAAGAATAGTAATAACAGCTGCATGAACCAGCCTATGTGCCAGGCACTGTGCTAAGCACTTTATTTCTTTATATCCTCAGGCAACCCTATAAGGTAATTACTGTTTATTCCTCCACCTTAAGGGTGGAGAAGCAGAGGCTCAGAGAGGTGATGTGATTTTCCTATGATCACACAGCTGGCAAGTATGAGAAGGCTGGGACTTGGACCTCCACGGTATACGGTAACCATACTCTAGGATCCCTGTGTGGGGTCAATGAGATAACATACATAAGGAAGTATTCAGTTCCTGGCACCCAGTGAGTGCTCAAGAAATAATGCTTCAATTATTTATTCATCTGCCCAGGTGCACAGGGGTTTCATTTTATGGCTGGGCAGGTGGCAGGGGGCTGAGGATGAGATGGAGAAACTCATTAGGGGTGGGACTGAAGAGGCAGCTGTAGCACAGCTATGGGTGGAGGGTTGGGAGCTAAGGTGGGATTTGGGAGCTGGATGTGGAAAGCACAGGAGGGCAAGGCAAGCAGAGTAAAGGAAACGGAAGTAAGTGACTGTGTATTTACTTAAAGATTTTGCTCCAGTGATCGCCTCATTGGCCAGACATCTGGTTTTCCCGGGCATCCCAGGGGGAATGGAAGTCAGACAGCATTACTTCAGCGGCTCTAATGCCATCCACCTCAGCCTGCTTGTGCTGGCTCACTTGCTCCCAGGCTCAAGATGCATCTCTGCAGATTAGGGGCCAGCGCTCCAGGTCTGTTCGGAGGCTCCCTGGGAGGGAGTGCACAGCTGGTCGTCTCACTGCTCAGAGTGGAGCCAAGAACAATGGGGTAGAACCCCCTCCTGGGGGCGCAGGGAAGCTGAGAACAGCACGGGCAGACCCCCACCCCATCCCATCTCTCCATCCCTAGCTACCTGGAGAACAGACCTGACAAAGGTGGCCCACCAGGCAGCTGGTTACCTAACGAAATGAGAAAAGGGTATTTACCGGCACAAGCCTTGGGGAGCAGGGGTGTAGAAGGGAACACTTCTAGAAGCTGCTGGGTGCAGAGGTGAGATGCCCATGGAGCACACAGGATGCGATGATTGTTCATTAAACTCCCTGCCTTCTGAGGCGGGGTCCTGGAGGACTGAAGGGCCTCCATGCACCTCAGTGGAGCTGGTGGGGTTCGGGCTAGAACTGAGCTGTTCAGACTGATAGAAGAGAGGCTGAGGTTTGCAGCCAGGGCCACCCCGCCCCCTTCCTGCCCTGTTTTTCACCGCCTCTCTTCCAAAGAAATGTGGAACAAATATTGAAAGAAAGTCTAAAGAGGTACCAAATTATGAGTCTGCCCTTGGCTCTAATTTTTCAGGCCAGCCCTTTTATAAAAGCACCATAGTGATGGCCTTACTGATTCCCTATATTAGATCCTGACTTTTCTTCCTCCCTTCCCTCCTTCCTCTGAGTCAGGTCAGTCAACAGATGTTTCTAATCGTCTACCGTACATGCCAGGCACTGAAGATACCACAAGAAGTTGCTTCCCCTCTCCCATCTAACACCATCCCACGTTTTTGGTCCTGGTGCACATTTTGAGGCTTTTGTGTGCCTAGGTGGGGTAGGGTGACAGTGAATCGAAGAGGCCTTCAGCTTGGTCTCTGTCCCAGGAAGAAGTCTGTGTTCCCAAGGTGACAAGGAACTGTGGTGAAAGGATCATTTTAGGGTCTGTCTGTAGTACGACATTGGCTTCCCTAGGTTTCTCCAGCCTCATCTTCCCAACTTTTCATGCCCTGGGGACCTAGTGTGCTCTTATATGGGGTGTGTGTGTGTGTGTGTGTGTGTGCGCGCACGCGTGTGTGTGCAAGGAGGGGCTGTGCAGTAAAACTGCATTCTCCACAAGCAGAGCTCTGGGCTGGCTGGGCAGCTGGAGTTGGGGGTGGACAGACAGCTGGTGCTGCCACACTCTGCCCCCAACCCTGGCCTCAGACCCCACTGGGCCTCTGATGAGTGGGGCTGCCTGTAGGAACCAATCACCCAAGCAGGATACTTAAGTGGCAGTGGCAGAGGGGAGGACTCGAGGAAAGGCCAAAGGGTTGGAGGGACCCAGGGCTAGAAAATCTTCTTCCGTGACATCCTTAGACTATGTGCTCCCAACTAACTCAGAGGCCTGGGCTTTAGGGCCTCATTTTAATCCTGAAGGTGTAAGGAGCTCAATCCCGGCAGACCTGTCTCACCCAGCCAGCATGACCTGATGGAGAAGGAAAGCCCTGAGGTCCAGTCTTCCTCTCTGTCCTGCAGCACTGACCCAGACCCCTTCCCAAAGTCAGAAAGCAAGGAAAAGCTGCACTGAGCAACAGCAACCCCAGCAGAGGAAGGCTATGTGAGGCTGGGGCACGTGTGAGGGACGTGAGGGGCTGGGTACCACTTGCCCAGAGGGGAGGCAGTGTCTGCATCCCTGCACCCCACTGTCTGATGAAACAAGCTGCATCCAAGCCACCAGCCCCAGCTCCTGCTGCCAGCACCCACGCCCCGAGGCCCAGTTCCTCAGGGAGGGGGCACAGGGCTCCCCTCCCACCTGCCCGCACAGGCTCCGGGCATGATGGGCCTGGAGTGAGGGGCACACGCTGGGCTGCTGCTGCAGAGGGAGTGCGCCTCCTCTCCCTGCTCTGGACTTCTCTTTGGCAAGGAAGAGAAGGTGGAAAAGAAGAAAGACCCAGTTTAATCTCCTGAAAACAGAACTTCAGTGTCTCTGAGGTGCTTTCTTTTGTGGGCTCTTTGAATGGAGCCCCTGCTTCCTCCTTCAAGGTTTAAGCATGTTGACCTCTATTAAAAGGTGTTTGGCGCTGGCCCCTCCTCAGTGGGAGACTTGAAGCCTGAGCCAGTGGGCCGTCCTTCACCCATCGAACTGCGGGGAGGGGGCGTCTTTCAGTGTCCCCTTGTCAGAGACAAAAGAGGGACTTCCTAGCTGACAGTCATTACTTTTGGATCAGGGAAGCCAGTAGGGGTAGTGGTGAGAGTTTAGACTCTGCAGTCTGCAGACAGACCTGGGTGCAAATCCTGGCTCCTCCACCTACTGCTGCATGACACTGAGGACATGAACAAACCTCTCTGAAATTCATTTTCAAAAAAGCTATGAGTATATGTTTGCAGTCTGTAATTACGTTCGTCACGGGGAGTGGGTACATGAACGTAACACATCTTAGTTCTTTTTTATCCTCTTCCTCTACTTTCCCTCCCCACTCCCTTCGTCTCTTGGCCCCTTCCCTTGTACAAAAGATCTAGCTCCCTGTTGAACCTCTCTGAAATTCTCTTTTCTCATCTACATAGCAGAAATAACCACAGTACCTGCCCCATAGGGGGTTAAATGAGATACTATGAGAAAAGACATACAGTAAGCTCTTAGCAAAATTTTAAAAGCAGATTCAGCTCCGCCCTGAGTCTAAACCCCACTGTGTGAGTAACCTCAGGC